AATTCAATGTTGTTCTTTCAACGGTAAAAAGAAGATTTTGAACCCGTTAAATCGAGTTTTGAACCAAACGCGAAAATAGCTCTACTTTGAAGGCACGTTTTAAAAATGTGGCACCTCTTTGAAACTGCTGAACTACATGAATAGAAAGTATAAATGACCCTTAATTTAAAACAATAATAAAATTTGTCTGTCCACTAGGTTTTCAAAACTAACGACCGCTTAAAGTTCAGGAAATTTTGAAAATATTCCAGTGAGTAACTAACACTCTCGCCTTCGTAAAGTGCTCCGATAAATTCCCGTAAATCTCTTACCTGGCTTAATTCAAGATTAAAGTTTTGGTCCTTTGTAGCGATCCTTGAAACCTAGGTAGCATTAAAACTGCCAGCTTTTCCTTTCAACTGTAGGTTTGATAAAGTAGATTTATGCGTTCCTCATCTGTGTCGAACGTGTTTTCCTCGAAGCCGGTTTAATCATGTCGTCTCCTCTTGAAAGGTTTGTAGAAGCACTCTTTTGGACAACTCTCGCACACATACATGTATGAACAGTAAACGGTGATTCGGGAAGCCAAGGAAGGATTGCTAAATGCCACGGCCGTTTTGTGTTTACAACAAGTGATTTAGTTCCCAATCCTCCCGTGAGTATAACGGCCAATGTAGGAAATGTTAATATCGGTACATGATCACTGTGTTGTTGACCACAGGACTTGCAGTAAATAATAAATTTTAAACTGACAGATATTTCAAATGACCTGCATAGCACTCTTCTGGCTAAGGAGCTCCCTTTAGTTTACCTAAGTTACATTGCGTTGAACCTTCAACTTCAGCAGAGTTGTGATATGAGGACATGCAATGAAGGCACAGGACCATGAGCAATTCAGTCATTGCTAATTGACAGTGCCTATCATTCACAGTCTTCCAGTTTACTAATTTATAAGTGAACTTAATGTTGGCTGCTGTTTCCAGAATGTGGTTTTTGTGCTATTTCGCTGGTTTTTTGTTGTGCTTGTCAGTACTTTGCAAATATTCAGTTTAAAAAGCATACTTTAGAATTGAATTATTATTTGCAAGTAAATGTAAGTCTTTTTTTTTTTTTTCACACCTCCCATCTGCAATTTTAGTTGCAACCACTTTAAATCGCATGAGGTATATTACTTGTCCAAAGCATTCATCTCATGTAACTCAACCAAGCCTTCTTTCCATTGACCCTGATTTCCCTTGTACATGGCCTCACATGTACTGAGAACCCAGGAATGGACACTTGGAGCAGATACAAGTTACATACAACACCTAGGCACTAGGTGAAGAGAAATCTCAAACTCTCATCAGTTTGAACATTGATATTGCCAGTGGCAATGTCTGAGGCAAAGTCATATGTAGACCTTTTACTTTAAACACATTCAAGGAAGTTGAACAAGACCAAAATTGTGTTATCCCATTGTCTACCAAATAGATCCACATAGTGCATAATTTATTTAATCTTGGGTTTGTAAGTTGAACAAGAATTTGCTGGGAGTGTGACCTGGTACAGGGGACAAATACGATTATTTTTTACCACTTACATTGAAGCAAAACATACCCTACTTCTCCCATTAAGCTTCTAGTTTTTTAATTCCATTAATTGTTTTTACTGCAAATTGTTTTTGTTATTTTGAAAGAGCCATA